GGCGCCATGCCACCCTGCCGTAGGAGACGTAGATCCCGATCAGCGGGATGAGAAAGAAACCGAAAGTGGTGAAGGAAGTGTAGAGAAGGATTTCCCAGTGGTGCTCGAAGTATTCCCTACAGTAGGGGACGTTTGCTCTGATGGGTAACTTGTTGTCGAATTTGTAATCGATTTTTTGCACAATGAGTTGCGGTGTCATGAGAGTGAAGGACAGTGCCCAGATGACAGCGGTGATGATAAGCGCGCGGTTGACAGTGTGAACGTGACGCGCCTTCAGCGGGTGACAGATGGCGTAATACCTGAGTGTGGGAAATGAATATAATGTCTGAATTAACACTCAATATATTCTATTGAATTTTTCTATTATATACATTCCTTTCATAATATATTTTCACAATGGAAATACACCGACAATAATGACAATGAACAAATTGACATCATCACAAGCGTTTACACGTACATAGGACCCATCACGTTATTTCTGAAGAAAAACGTCCCGAACTTTAAATTCTTACTCCCATCTAGTTACCCCCTACCAGTCTATATTATTAAGCGAAACATTTGATGTGCCAGAGGTATTAACATTTGTCTTCCATGAAATGAAATTGCATTAGATAATGAAGCGGATAATTTCCGAGAAATTAAAATTCATAAAAAAGTAGATTAACAGAACAAAGTGAACAAATCAGTATAACATTACCTGTCAACGGCGACTATCAAGAGAGTCAAAATACTGGAAACAATGAGAACACCCTGAAAATAAGCGTAAAATCTGCACAGCCCTTCTCCGAGGCTCCATTCCTGGTAGGCTAACTCGTACAATTGAAAAGGCATGCAGACTGCGGCTATCAGGAGATCGCTGACGGCCAGTGACAGTAAGAAAGTGTTTGTTACTGTCCGCATGGATTTATTCCTGAGAATCACCGCTATCACCAGGATGTTGAAGACGACCGCACAGAACATGATGATGCCGAACAAAATGCGGAAGCGAAGTAGGTCATGGTCCGCAAGAGGCGGCTCGAGGAACGACTCCGGGTATAAGGAGACCAACATTTTGAATTGCTCTTCTGTTATCGGCGTGTTGTTTCCCATGATGAATCCTACCTCTTGGTTTAATATACTGAGAATTGAATTGATCCAGTTAAACTCAAACTGCGTCTCTCTGTTCTTAATCCCAAGGTTCTCTGATAATTGCCTCTGCACAGGTTTCTACTGCACTGGTTTCCAATAATTATCAGTCATGGAGTGAAAAGTATTCACAATACAAAAGGTATCTGGTGATTCAGCAATCTGCAAAGTTAAATACTAGGTGAATTTCATGGTGAATTTCCAAGAAAGAAAACGCCAGTGGACGTGTGTCACCTCATGGCTACCGAAGCTCGAAGTGAAAATTGTTTCTCGTGGTGAGTGCCTTCCAAACGAGAACACGTAAATGCTGCGTGTGAACCGCGCTAAGTCCAGCACGTGTTTAACAATCTTGAGCTCGAAGTTCCTGTCAACAAGACTATTTCTTCGTCAATGAAGTGATTTGCTTTTCATCAGTCTTAATTTCCCGCAAATTTCAACTCCAGGAAAATCGCCTCTCCAGCTAATATTATCGCCACGTACGACAGAAATCACCAGAAGACGTGTCGTTCTTTGTTTGACTATCGCCAAGGCAAGAGCACTCCAACACTGCGCAAGATGAAAATCGTGCACTCAGAGTTATTCTATTGGTTCTGCGCATCAACTTGAAAAAGCACATTTATATTAATTTTGTGACGGGGGATAATGGCTTGCACTGTTTCCATTGGCTACAATTAATCAACATATTGATGACAACGGATTCTACTCTTTCAATTTCATCCCATTTGCTTTTTGTACTTTGAGACAAATTTAGCTTAGTGTCTGCAGCTACTGAATTTGATTTAAAATTGATTACTTATATATAATAGCTTAAAGAAATGTCAAATATCGTTAAATTATTTCCTGAAAAGTGATATTTGCACAGCGTATTTTCTGCAATTTTTTTGTGCTTTACGGACTGGAGGAAATTGAGTAGGTAAAAAGTAGGTAATTTGCGACTAGAAACTGAAAGAAAAGGCTATTTTTTAATAAAAAGGAAAATAATCAAAATGCAATGTGCATATACACTCATAAGCTTGTGTAATATATTCTTATTAAACCTCATATGAACATGAGTATACATGCAAAAAAATATAATATATTATATATAATATAAAATTTAAATGAACCAAGAATTTATTTAAAAAAAAGAAAATAAACAAGACTTAGAACATCATTTCAAAAGGGTAAAAAATCAACGCACCATAAAGTACAGATAATAATTAGCGTAGGCAGAAGATCAAAGACAAAGACCATTCTCTCATTCCCCGAATACATGCTGCTAGTATTTCCGTAATAACATGATCCTAATCAGAAGATACATCACCGTGACGCTGTACCACTAAATATCTCATGTACCGTGTCAAAATAACGAATTAATGATAATTAAAAAACGAAATATATTACTTTGGAGATGCTTACGGTAATTGATTGATAACCTTGCAGAAAGGTTTTGAATACAGCGTTTGCAGCAATGAAAGTGAGGGGGCTATTAAGGCTTATCAAATGTCAAAGTGAAATGAGATCGACTGTATTGAGTTCCTGATATTTATTGAGCAGTTTACATAACACTTGTTGCTTTGTTGTTTTCGAAAAGATGTAAACTGAGTATTGACGTGTTTTTGAAACCTTATTTTTATGTACAAACACAGATGTGTCTGTACATATAGAGGTCGCTTGCGTCTGTCGTCATCGCAGTGCCCTTACAGGTAGTTTAATATTGAATCTGTAAACAAACAGAACAATAGAAAACCACATTACATGAAATAATCAACAACATTTTCCTACACTTGTCACCCTGCTTTTTCCTGCGAACAGCACAATGAGCCGAATAACGTGGGCCTTTTTTTCATTGGCCGAAAGTTTCAAACCCTTTATTCCACTAATTGAACGTCTTAAACGTCGCGTTTTCCTTCACTGCGTCATTCTGTCAGCTAGCCCCTGTTGACGTCGTCGCAGCAGTCTTCAGTGGTAGAACAGCTCATGGAGGGACAGTGTAGGAGCGCATGAGTTATAAGTTACTAAATATTCAGAAGCAGTCAATGTACGAGATTTAATTCAAGTCTACTTATTTTTCGTATAGTATCGCTATATCGTGTCTAAATGTTTAGCTGTCTGAAAAAAGGGGATAAATTTCTTCTATTATAGATATCACGCACAGAGGGTATTGCTTGAGCTTGACAATCCCCCCCTTAAATTACCCCTTCCTTTCATTATCTTGTAAAACTATTTTACTATGGGTGACATAAAGTCTGACGGGTTCATAACTAATTTGTGGGAAGGCGTGAGATATGAGGGCGAGGTAGTGAATACGGAGCTTGAGAGCGTTGATGATTTATGAGATGGTTCGAATTTAACTAATAAACAGTTGGAGAATCACGCAGAGCAAGTCGAAGGTGAACTTGGGATGGGGTGAATTATAGGAGATATTATAATCTGCGTCGAGTAATTGTACGACGAATGAAAAAAAATCCACTGTAAACACGGACTATCAGCTCACATTCTCAAATTTAGAAAATCGGAATCTCAATTCTATGATTCCATTTTTCCAAAGTAGAACCAATGACATAGTTCAAGGTATGCTTCCTCATGATTTGGTCAGAATCGTTTGACAAATCAGATTGTTTCAGTAAATTGATACTTGAAATAACAAGTGAGGAAGGTGTAGAGATTGATGTTTATATAGAGCTATCACTATAGAGCTATCACTATAAGTCAGATTTTGATTTATTGGATGAACTAAGCAAATTTCTTTTCCTGATTGACGATCCAAAAATGATTTTTAGCACTGCCAAAGCCTGTAGCCTTTTCTTTGGATTAAGAAGAAATTTTATGTATTTAAACTGTAATTAGTGTTTTAAATTTTTTAGTCTCTCATAGTTCTCTATAGAACTGCCTGATGACTGTCTTAATTTTTATTGTTTTTTTTTTTAAATTGTATCTATGGGTGAGACTTTAATAAAATAAATTGAATTGAATTGAATTATCACTATAGCCGATACTATCATCTATATTCCTTGATGATGGCAGTGCAGTAACTACCGCGTGCCTGGACAGCATCATGGGCCGCTACCTCGGCGACTTCACAGATGAGCTAGATGAGGGGGACCACATCTCCACATTTGTTTTGGGTGGACCGAAAAACTACGCATACGTTACGGCAAAGGGAAAGACAATTATGGCCCAGTCACAATGTCGGCGATCTGTCGGAGATTAGTTTAGTCGTCGTAGAAAATAAAGAATCCTTGAACAATCCTAGCAATAATCCTAATAAAAGTGGAGCAGTCACATTGTCTGAGATTTTTTCAAGGATTTTGACCCGGTTTTGTCGAAAAATCGTGGGATTAGCTTCCGATCGCCTCCGATTGCATCGGAGGCGATCGGAGACGATATCTGCGAGCGTCTTTTCTTGTAATTTTTTTCCCCCTGGGTATATGTGGTTATATATGGGTATATATTCGGAGGACGCCTCCCATTAATCGGAGGGCATCGTAGGTCATCGGAGATTGTGTCTGGGATGCCCAAAATGGGTGAAAAATCTTGCGAGCAATCTTAAAATTTTAAGTTCAAAGTTGGGGACCGCGACGGGTGTGGCGATGTCTAAAAAATCTGCCACAACCCGCAGGCGTCCGGAGAGCGCCTCCGACGGGTGCAAAATCGTGAGATCTGTCTCAAGATTTTGTTCAAATTTCCCGGGTTTTACCCATCCCCGACGCATCGCAACTGATTTGTGACTGGCCACTTAGTCAAGTTAGAGGTTTGAAGAGTCACTGAATTATGATACTTCTCAGATAGTGAATTATGATATTTTGCGTAAATGGTGCATGGCATAGGTCCGCGTGGAGCTGCTAAACGCGTGGAACAGCCTGGGCCCCGTATCTCGAAAGCTTCGCTATGTTGCGCACGTGCGCAAGCGTCTCGATTCCATTACTCGCCCACACTCGTCCCACATGATACACTGTAGCCTCTTTTTGATATAGCGATTCGCAAAACGCGATGCTTTCGAGATACGGGGCCCTGCTTCGATACGTCTAGGACTTCCTTGCAATACCTTGTTACTATTCTATATGTCTATTAAGTATTAAGTGACTTTGGTCAAAATCCTGTAATCGAGGGAAGCAATGGCTAAAACCTCCCTTCAAGCATTGGCCTAGGTCATGTTTGAGGTCTACTATGGTATAAAAGTGCATTTGATTCTGGTTCCTTTTTAATATATCCAACCATGTTTTTATTTTTGACCTTAATGATAATTGGTAAGTAGAAAAGATTTATATTCATAGGCTGGTATAGGACTTTGGAAAGGGTGGGGTCCAACCTCCAGGAATTAGAATAATATTACCTAAAAGAGGTCCTCACTTGAACAAATTAGAGAAGCCATTCATTTTTACCTCTGCCAGGGAGGTTATGTTTTTACCCCTGTTTGTCTGTTTGTCTGTCTGACTGTCATCAACATAACTCAAAAAGTTATGGACCGATTTTGATGAAACTTTCAGGAACTATCAGAAGTGGGCCAAGGAACAGATGATTAGTTTTTGGTGGTGATTCGGATCAATAACCAATAATCAATAATAGTCAAAATTTGCTGACTTGGCGAAGGTCTGAGCTCTAAGAGTGTTTTTATAGTTGAAGATGTGATCGTCAGCATCCACCAGTATCGGATGGCCTAGTGTTAGAGTGCCTGTCTACGAAATTGGAGAACATGGGTTCGACTCCGTCTTTCAAGGCAAAACAAAATAACACAGTATGACACAATGATACAATAAGTCATCTGGCAAGATGGTCAAATAATAACCTTCTTTATGAAAGAAACGTGTAATAATTCAGGTAGTAATATTAATAGCATAGCCAGTGAGTCATGTAGCTTATCTTTCATCTGTGTAAATTCATCACGTTTTACTGCCTGTATATACCAACTTTTTACATGTCTCATTACGCTACTTATGTATTTGTTTGGTCATATAAACTTTTGTAAAAATGGGCCAGCGCGTATAAAGATTACTATTTTTAATATCATAAACGATACCTGTTGTGCTTGGCACCCAGCACTTAGGGGTTGAAGCAGGGATAAAGCTCCTGGTCTGGCAGAGAAAGATATTTTCGTTTGCTAGCTTTCAGCGTTTCGTACAGCATGCTGGGCTGTAACCTCCCCAGGGAGACAGTAGCGTCGACACCCAAATTGTATCAGGGCCAAAATGACCAGGCGTCCGTAAACTGCGCTGATACGCGTCAGTGGTGCGGTATACATGTATAAGAAGTGAACTCTCCTTTTTTTATTTATTATATTGTATTAATTATATGTATTTGCTTAATTCAATAAATTTCATGTCTTCCCGAAATGCGTCATATTGCCAAAAATATCCAGGTTTAACGATTAGGAGTTAAATGTGTTTACCAGCTAAACCCGTTGAAAAAATGAGATAAATCAGGCGTTACATGAGATACATGTATACCCAAGTTTCAGAGCAGTTTGACGGAACCTCGTTTTGTTATTATTATTTTCTATTATCAAAGATGGAGTTTGCAGCACACAGCCTGCCGGCTGGAAATAAATAATGCGCTGTTCAAAGCGTGAGTGGGTAAACCTTTCTTCATTTCAGGGAACGTGGGCCTTCTCTGTATTAAGATTAATAAAACAAAAGTACAGTAAATGTGTCCTTGCTCAGTTGATGCGTTCACAATTGCAAAACATATCAGCGGTGACCTTGGCTTGTAGTCAAGGTCACAGAGAGGTTAATGCAATTAATATGAAATCCATTTAATAATTAGGCTTACTCAGAAAATTAGGGAGAATATGAGGGAAAAGCAGGTAAAGTACTTCGCTAATCACCGATTAGAATATCACCATGATGATCTGTCTTATTTCGTACTTAGCACTGACAAGCGAACTATACTTTTATTACCCTTTTAACACAATAACACTGGTTTTTTATAGTATAGTGAGTAAATCATAATATGTTACTTTGCTGACTGTCATTGTATTACTCAAACTGCGTGATAAAAAGAGTCGAAGGGAGCGAAATCTCCCAAAGACGTCAAGAAAGGTTTATTTACATTAGGGGATACCGGGGCCACTTAGACCCCGGTGGTAAGCTGGCCCCTCGTCAATTTACGAAAAATTACCTACAAGGTACAATATCTGATCACATAATCTTGTAAAGTGATAGAGTTGGTGCTCTAGCTTACACTCATTTGGTTCCACTAAGCCAAAAGTGTCTACATGTAACTGGACCAACTAGCCCCGGTCTCTCCTGATATATTTTAATAAGCCATAGGCCAAAAATGTAAAGCCAAAATTGTCATATAAAATATTCCCGCTATTTGCAAGTTCGCCTAATTTACCTAATGTATTTGAATAACAGACCGAACCTGGTATATGTTTGCTTAGCTTGAAATTGCCCTGCGTAAATAAAGAACGGAGGAACTGTACCAGGTAATTGTCACTGGAGAATGCTCCTCACCACCGGTTGCTCATTACTCGCTACCGCAGTATAGAGAGAGCATGGACAGAACTAGGTTAATGAAAATTGTCCATTTATCTTATGTAATAGCTCTTGTATAAAACATGAAAATGGATGATTTGCTTCTGTGCATTGTCGAATGCTGATACTTGCGATTTTAATGTTTCATTCTTATCTAACTTTTATCATTCTTGATTTATTAATTAATTAATGGAACGTCATAAGAATCTAATCGGTCTTTTCTGACATATCCTGACAATTTCATAAAAATTCGTCCATAACTTATGATGGCAAATGTATTATCTTAACATATTACTTATTAGGTGACATGATACATATATACTGTAGATACGAAAGCAATAGGATGAATATAAAACATCCTGACACACATATCATTACAATAATGATCTATTTCTTTACATATATCAGGACGTAGGAAAAACACCGGTGTGACAGGAAGGGTTGCCCGCTAGGTACCGTAGTCCGCTACCCATTACTTTGCACAGGTGACATTCGTCCCATATACTAACCCCAATACTCCAACTAACCCTTACCTGCACTAACCATATGGGACCCCGGACTTCCATTCCTGGGCCTTCCATCCCTGTCACACCGGCTTCAACATTATCTTGATAAGTCAAGGCGCTTAAGAGAAGTAATTCTTAGGGAAATTTAATGTAAACTGCAATGACAGTGCGCTTTATGTTTCACCTGTAGCAATGCAAACTCTTGACCGGGGTGGGAGGATGGCGGCATACCCGTCATCGCAACATCTTCGCAACTAACGCAATGCACGCGGCACAACGCAATACTCCAAATGCTTCAAACACTACACTGCTTATTGGAATTTAATGGCTTAATTCAAATAACCAAGAACCGTTAAGGCTCATGAATATATTTTAAAGAAATCGCTTCAACGATCAAAATCTCCTGGGACCATTATTATCAATAAAAATGCACCTTGTTCTCCGAAATATGTTTTATTCAACGGGAACTCTTTTCTCCTTAGGCTGCGTGTTAAGTACGGGATCTCCGCCGACTTTTCAATTAACAGAGAGGACAAGAGGGAGTGAAGTATTGAGATCTATGGAGGCGAAAACCAATTTGAAGTGTGATAAATGTTGCAGTCATTACCGGATGATAACTGTTTCAATACAATCCATAGGATGAAGGCAAAAGCACGCAAGTGAACTCGATTCCTCGACTGTTGAAGCGATAACTGTCTACATAAGCGCCCTGCACAAAAGCCCCGTTTTCACGGCAAAGAGGCGAGTTGTGACGCTCAGTATCAATTGAAACGGCATTTATAATTTGGGGTTTTGAAAAATTCGAATACACTGAGCTGTAATGGAGGTATATATAGTAAGTAATTCTTGTAACAACAATAGCCTCTCCTTTGTAACTGAACCTACAAGTATGTACCACGAGTAAGTCAGGACTCCCTATCAGAACCAATTCTTGGTTTCCGCCTTCGTTATTAGAAGAACACGCCCACTTAGCCCCCCCCCCCCCCCCCCTCTTACCCAATCTTGTACATCTGATAAATTATTGTGATAAATTATTGTAACAATTAAAGAAAGCCAATTAATTGTCTTAACATATTGTTATTCTGAAAATCCATGCTGCTGATAGATCGGAATACTCTAACACTATCGCACAACTTTGACACCAAAATTAAGTATTAAGTTAAATGTCAACCGTGTACGCTACTTCCACTTGCTGTTGTGATTAGCCATTGAAAGCAATTGAACGTTAGATATCCATTATCCAAACTCAACATAACAAGCCAAAGCATTCAAAGTTACGCAATTCAGAATCGTTGATCATTATTATTGTTGTCAACAAGTAAATGTTGTAGGGTTACTGGCATGTTTCATCTCTTTAATCTTAAAAATATTTCAGATTGAAGAATTCAACTTTAGAACAAGGAAGAAAAGTTGAGTTGTATGTGATGTACGTGTGCCTTGGTAAGACGTAATTACAACACATAATATGTAGTGGCTCAAATACAGCCACCAACCACTGTTGGTGAACAGTTTTTACCTGTTTTTACACCTTTCGCTAATTATAGGTTCAAAATCAGATCGCCAGCCGACCATATTACAATTTCTTTCAACCTAATCTGGTTGTATGTCGACGTCATTTGTACCATTTCCAGTATAAGCTACTCCAGTTGTGAACTCAACTTGCAGATTCTTCGGTTGAAAAATACAGTGCGACAGCCAAGGCGTATCTCTTTAGTGAACTACTTCTAATGTTTGTCTAATGAACGTTCCGTGCAGTCAACACACAGTCATAAATATATATACATCTTGACAAAATGTAGTGCATATGATGTACAGTCATGGCAAAAGAATATATGATCAACACATATTCACATATGTAACGTTATCAAAATCAATCAAATCAAATTATCTACAGTTTACCTTTGTTTGTTTTGTTTGGAAATTCCCCATATAATATTCACCCGTAAACACACAGTTCTGACATATTCGGTACCTTTGGTAGCTACAAGTCGGATGTCTAATTATGTATCAACATTAAAGAAGTGTTTTGCAGTCTTAATTATATATCACCGGTAGCCCCATCTTAAATGTTTGAACGTAAGGGACGGTTTTGTCTTTCTCCATTCTACTCGTCGTTAAAACACCAGAGATCTTTTCATCGACGTCAAATGCAACTTCTGATTTATTTATTTATTTATTCGCCTTTTTATTTATTTGCTTAAAATGTGGCTCTTAGTCGAACTACAGAATTGCAACATGTAACGTATAGAAAATGACCGCTAAACTTGCAGGCTTTTTTATTGCTGTTCATTAAAAAGAGGACATCCGCAGTAATAAATCTTATTATAGAAATATAGAAAAATGATTTATCTCCACTTATAGACCATTCTTTTGTCAGTATTTGTCCTTTCCGTCAATTTTCGTCCTCGCTACGTCAATAAAGGGAGACACAAAAGGCGTCAACCCTCCAGTGCACAATGAAGAAGTCATTATTTATAAACGGAGTTTTAACAGAGCCCCCTTTTGACATGAACACTTTTTAAGTTACATGTTGCAATGCTTCTGCATGGCGCGTCTCTAAAAGCACGCTGCAGTGATTTTTAGGTAAAAACTATCTAGCTAAAGATACTTCATCACAAGATCCCCCTCCCAAAGTATGCGATTCAACGTCATACTGCCTGCTCGCTGACTCGTCCATTAGATGGTAGCAGCTTGACTATAACGTCTGGTTCGCTTTCTTTATCTCTGCGCGCATTGTAGCCATTTTGTTTGTAAGAGGATGACTGGGACCTGCGCGATGACGACGAGGAGGATAAAGAGGCCTTCTGGGCCCGTAACATACTTTCTTTTGTTGAGTCCTGGCTCAGGGATTGGCAACTGTTTTTCCGACTTTCCTTGCTCATTTGTCGGCTAAATTTGTCAGTGAATTTCATGCTTGCTTGCATCATGTATCCCAGCTTGTACTTTTTCTTACAACATGGCGACCACTGGCAACACGGCATCACCCGGAGCACTAAATCCTGGAAATCGGCCTGGAAATGATGAGTGATAAATCTTACTACATGAAATGTGATATGAAGTCATTAATTGACAGACCGTTAAAGGAATTTCGACGGAATTGCATTAGTTCCGTCAAAAACATAAAAACCTTTCTTGAAAGTTAAAGTCACTTTAGGCGATTATTTGCTAATTGATAAACATTGTACAAATTTAGCATCTTCAAAACGATTAACTGTCAATTATTCTATAAAATGGCAGTGAAGTCTTAATCCTTTCAAAACCATATCAGAAAATAAATTGGATAGCACACAAGACAAAAAGTTCCTAACTATCGATTAGTATTTAGACGCCCAGAATACAGATACGGGAAACAATGTCATTTTATGGTCGCATAGGTTAATACATGTAAATATTCATATGTCATAACATCCAAATATGTAAAAATAAATTTAGCAATTTTTTTAATCCTGCATTTTATTTTTCATTTAATAAACACACAGCCAAGGATCCGATATTACTCAATCACATTGTTTGGTGTGAAAAAGGCCAATCTTTCACATATGTGACTATCACACAGGTAACAAGGGATTGAGTAACTTGGTACGCATATTGGCATATGTGTTGATCCATGTTTTGGAATATTCCATCATTAAAAACAGATTATACCAGGTCTCTTTCAGCATTACTCCACTCGTTCGGTTTAGATTAAAGAAGAAAATTAACCAAAACCATCCCTATTTCCGATGGTTTCCCTCTCTGTGATTTCCGCCACCGTTTCAGTTATTAAAAACAGTACTAGGCACACACTGACGTTTACAATTGTCTCTGAAATACAGCCAGGGTTACCGAAACAGGATATTTAAAGTCATATAACAAAATAATAACGGAACTGACTGTTTTGCCGAAATATTTCCGAAGGTCATACAGTGCAAGAGCGGATAATAAAACAGCTGACACGAATGGACGATCAGAATACCCTTTAACGAAACCCAAAGACAAATTGCGATTTTATAGTCCCGCCCTTTAAACCTAATTATTTTTTCTAAAGCAAGGAAGCCTACTTAATCGCCCCCAAGCGGCCTCCGAGGAAATAGATTTCACCTAACAAGGCCATGTCTCTTGGGAGGCACGTAAGCTTTATCATTAAAATACATTAGTTTTGGGTGAAAATGTCGTCAGTTGAGCGCTGATATTCTATCAGGGCTATTGACGTACTTTGCTGTTTCGGTCTAGGAACTATCGTTATAATTTGGTTGTTGAGAGGACTGCGATAAAGCTTATTACTGAGTGCACTGATTGCGTTCATGGCTTTTATTAGGTTTGCAGCGTTTGTCTGACCTATTGGTGCTGATTATCGTTTCTCTTAATGAAAAATCTTGGAATAAAAAATTAAGGAAACTTTTGGCAAAGCTTAGCATCTAATAGAGTACTGTAAGCAGTAAACCCAGTCCCCTGTGTTGGTTTTGGGGCTTCCTTTGTGTAGATTGTGTACATCACTGTAACCTGCAAAATGCACACACACACACAAAAAAAATCAGATGCAATTTTGTTCTGTCGAGCCCTGACTGTTATCTCCCCCTCCCCCACCCCACGCCAAAAGGATCGGGGAAAATATTCTAAGAGTAAAGCTAGAGGATCAGAGAGGCGATACCGCCTCCGGATATTGTACCACCAGTTGGAGTAAGCGCCACCACGACCACCACCACCACCACCTGTGCTATGACAAAATTTACTAATTGCAATAAACCAGTTCTCAAAATATGCCAATAGAAGCGAAAACCTGCATAACCTTTGTAAAAATGGTTTGATCAACCAGTTTTGGAGACATAACGGACAGAAAACTTGCAAAATTCAGTTCATGGTAAAAAAAATAGGTCAAAGGTCAATTTCAAGGTCACAGATTGTCAGTATATGACTTCCCATTCCACAGATTGTCAGTATATGACTTCCCATTCAAGTTCAATAGTGGCAATGGGTACATCTCTGTCAGTTTTGGAGATATAAAGGCACAAAATCTTGCAAAGACAGTTCATGTTGAAAAGTAGGTCAAAGGTCAATTTCAAGGTCACATTTAGATTGCCAGTATGTGACTTCCTATTCTAATTCAATAGTTTCAATAGTAACTATGGACCTATCTCTGGCAGTTTATAAGGGACTGAAATGTTGCACAGTTCAGTTCATGTTGAAAAATAAGTCAAAGGTCAATTTGAAGGTCACAGTAAGATTGTCAGTGTATGATTTCTTATTCAATTTCAATAGTAAATATTGCCCTATCCCTGCAATTTTTTGAGATATAAGGGACTGAAATGTTGCAAAGTACAGTTCACAGTGAAAAGTAGGTCAAAGGTAAATTTCAAGGTCACAATTAGATTGCTAGTATATGACTTTCCACTCAAATCAGTAGAAACTGTAGGCAAAACTCTGCGAGTTTGGAGGTTTTGGAGGTATAAGGGATAAAAAATTTGCACAGTTAAGTTCATGGTAAAAAAAGGTCAAAGGTCAATTTCAAGGTCACAGTAAGGTAGCCAGTATATTACTTCCTATTCAAGTTCAATAGTAACTATGGGCATATCTCTGCTAATTTTAGAGTATTTCACATTTTATTTTCACCACTGAATATTGCGACATTGTACTTTTTGATAAAGTGCAACTCCTAAACTATATCGAAACAAAAAAAGGACACCACCCTCAGTATTGCACTTGACATGTTCTACAAAATGCAAGCAACCGTAGGTCTACAGCATTTACGGTTTGAGAATTAGGGAGAGTTTTCAGTTTTGCCATTAGATTATCTAATGGCTGCGTCTCCCGTGAAAATGGACTGATTGACCCCAAACTCTAGAAAATGAAAGAAGTCCCTAATTGTAACCCCCCACTGTAATATGAGAGCTTAGGTCTGTGAAGTTTCTGAAAATTGGTGGTACTAATAACACGCCGGTACACGCTGGTGGTACTAATAACAACACAGTACAGTTTTATTTAACCGCCTGAAAGTCCACATCATCAGAATAAATGAAGGTCTCATTGAAATAAGGAGCTGTGCTGCAATAATCCTTAAAGGAGACACACCTTGTAAAACATACAGGCAGACGATCAGTCTCTGAACGCAATGGCCGCGCTTAATTCACTATATGTTTTCACCATAAATCTCCTGATGGGTCTCGTGGAGGTTTTCGTCTACACAGGATATTAGAATTAAGCTTTTTCAGAACAATCTGCGTTCGTCTCAGATGACCTTAACGTACAATGATTACATTTTAACTCGCCTTAGCGTGATGAACGGTGTAAACGTATACAGATGGATCGAAGAAATTAAGTGTGCCCTCATTAGTTATCACTGTAATGGTCCCGAGGTGCATTCTACACTGTAATCTTGTATATCGTATACACTGTATACAGAGTAATATGTCAAATTGGGCGGAGTACTATGTGGGTAACGATCTCTACACAAATGAACGGGAACAAGGGAATTGTGAGCCACTTCATTACTTCGTTTCTCGGCCGGGTCGCTGGCCTTTGGGACTGTATGTCGCCAGATATGTGTTGTCCATCATGTAAACCAAAGCACTGAAATCGTTTTTCAATTTTCCATAAGCCCTTGTAGATATCTGACGGAACAGGGCTTTATAATGGGTACCACGATTTGGACTAAAATCGAGCGAGTATTCCCGAAATATGGAAGAGAGTGGGGACAGAAATAATGGCAGACTTGCGAGTGCGATGCAGCAACAAATTAAAAGCTGACAAAATTCTTCCAGTGGTATTTTTTGGTTGTTTTCTTTAAGTTCTATAGATTTCTTTTTTGTACAACAGTGCATATCCACCATGTTTTGCGTGTTGTTTTTGGTTGCCTTCTAAGACAACAATTCAGGCGCGATGCGTATCACCGTTATTGCTAAAAGATTACAGCCGCATCTGGTATAAAATACAGCAGGAAAATATGCATATTTTAAGGATACGTATACGTGATCCCCTTTTCGTATTTTCACCATCCCCATCTCCCCAAAGATTTACTTCCGGTTTACTTCATAGAAAGGACACTTTTGCAACTGTATAGCCGTTCAAAGGAAGGGATAGTTTTCGAATTTACTCGTCCCCTCCTCCACTCTTAACAACATGGCCGTTTCTCAGGAAAGAATTTATAAAGATTATGAGACATTCACATACGTTGGGCAGTTTCTCACTGAAGAAATGGGAAAATAATTCGTAACCTGTTGATGGACGAAGTTTGAAACATCCATTTTGAAGGGACAGGCAAAACAATCAGCATGGTATCCTTGAGCATATATCACTTACCTGAAAACTGTCGTTTAGAAATCCATAAATAATAGGGTTCTGGAAACTGTTCGACATTGCCAGCCAGTGCACACAGTAAAAAGAAATGTCCAATATGGGCGCGCTCTCCACAGAGTATAAATAAGGCGCGAAGTCCAAGATCTGAATGAAGAGATGAAGAGGAAGCCAGCAGATCCCAAACAAGGCTACTATCGTCAGTAACATCTTGATGACCTAGATTAGAGAAAACACAATATTGAAAACGTAGGCTACGTACGTACGCGTGTGTAGTGTGTGTGTGTGTGTAAGGGGGGGGGGGGCTTGGTTCAAAATACGACGAGTTTGCGATACATTTTCTTAGTTAAGTTTTCATAGAATTAAAACTCTCATATCTAAGGCAAGCCAACTGTATTCGTTGACAAATAAAAACGGAATTCAAAAATACAAATGTAACCTAAAAATTGAAAAAAGTGTACAGATTGTGAACCGGACGAAATTTATCCAGTGTAACGTTACAGTGTCTTCCATGATAGAAATTCCGCTTCCATGCATCAGGCTAACCCTCACCATTATATCTAAATGGAGAGCGGCCCTTCCGTAACATGGATCTTCAGTTTCGTTACACCGGGATATCCGCCAAGTTGCAATTTTTCTTAATGAACCAACAATATTGCAATAATTTACTTTCGTAAAAATATCAAAATGGCGATCAAAATCCGATAGAACGAAAATATAATAAACAATTTGAATTTGTAACAATAATGAAAGCAATATTCTGAAATTGGAGCCTATCTTTACAAGGCGGTATTCCTTTTGTCCGAACAGCCAGGGTCCTCTTTTCCTTTACTCTTTTCCCTACTTAGCTAAAGTAAGGTCTATAGTTGTATTACGAATTATATCTGGCGCTGCTTAGAAGGTTTCCGCTTCTCTGATAGTAAGACCCCATTCCCAGAGATTAGATCGATCCAACTAGATCGACCTAACTCCCTGGGTGTTCACGCTAAATAGCTGTCAGCCGAGCGGGCACGAAAGTTAATTACCCCCTTACAGCTTGTAGTAGGCGGGACAGACATTTAAGCCATATTATCTGACAGTAATCTAGTGAGACTCCCCACGGGGATAGATCGATCTAAAATCTATGGGAATGCGCCCTAACATTCGACTTCCACTGTTACAAATCATAGAAAACAACTCATCAGAAGCATTTCATAATTCAAATGATTATTATATAGAGGGATCAAGGAAGCAAAGGTATTACCAGAAATACATGCATGTACATGCAATTACCTTAGCTAGTACTGGGTGTTTTGTAATTTCATACAAATCTTAAACAACTTTTGAGGATAAAAACTCTGTGTTAGATTTATTCTTATTGATCACGAGAAATTTAACCTTTGTCAAAAATGTGTATAGCCCTAGATTGGCCTATCTTCGTACCAACAAACGGGAACTAGTTCAGTGGATTCCAAAGCCGAAAACCTGACAGCAGAGACAAGCGAAGGACATTGCCAGACAAGGTATATCTTGTTCTAGAGAGACGCCAACTGATTGCTACAGAGCACAGTAAATCAAGTTCTAATTCGTTTATGTAGAAACGGTGACTTTTTGTCTGCCAGAAGGACATGCTATGTCGCTCCAGTTAATTGACGTTTTTTATAGAACACAAAGACAATACAGATAAAACTCAGAATCTCACCAGCCTTGAAACTAAGTGAGTGCCGTATATCATTGACTTCATATGATCTTATTAAGGCAGGCATGCCACCGCTTATCATTCTCAATTACATCCGACGTCAAAACGATGAATGTGATAATTAAGCCGCTTCCTCTCAAAGATTGTACAATAAAGGCATTTCCCCCGATGGTGGCATCTGGGGAATAACGTTTCGTAATCAATTGATTTCCAGATTCAAACTTTATTGAATTTTGAAGAATTTTGTTCTAAATATGTACAAAAATACAGATGAAGCAACTAATTGGCGATCCAAAGCATGTTTGGTAATCTTACACATTAATCATGTACTACTTTGTGTGTTTAATTCATTAATTTCTTGCGCAATATAATCATGTATAATATAATTATGTTATTTCACGTTATCCACGTTTTTGTAATTTCCACCCATTTGCTGCCATCGGTACACTATCTGTTCTACGCGGCAAATAGTTCGTGCAAACGAATGAGCGAATAGTTTCCAACCTTACTAAAAAGTTCCTACCAATATTCTCAGGTATGCCAAGTATCAAAGTTTTGATACAGATTAAGAAACTAAAATGTTTAGTTATTATTGTATTTTTATAGCCTTTTATCCATCAAAGGTTGAAAAATGTCAAAAATGTAAATGCATTTTGTATATTTGGATTTTGAATTTCGTCTTACCGGCATTCAATATGGCATCTCGCCTTGATGGATTGCCTTGATCTCAATCTTAGCTCTTAAATATATAGTTAAATATTTTAAGAATTCCCATCGGACCCACATCGACATCATGACGTCATCATGACGTCATCATGATGTCATAATTACGTCATATTTAACATTTATGCCCGTACGTACCTTTCGTTTAGACTGGAGCTGGGCTGTGTCACGTGCTACGTTGGCGTTCCCAGGGGCTGTCCGGCGCCAGAGTCGTCTCCCTACGAGACTGTACGTCACTATCATTATAGTCAGCGGAATAATATATGTAAACACTAAGACAATTAATCCATAAATCCTTTTTGAGGTCAAGGCCCATGTTTCCGCGCAGTCAATGTAAGTCCTTCCTTTGTATTCGTGCATAAACGAATATCGTCCCACAACGAGCATCGGCATTGCAAGGCTGATGGAGATGCCCCATATAATGGCTATGACGATTTTGACACGAGCACCAGAAAAAAGTCGTGACTTAAGTGGATAGTACACAGCCCAGAAACGATCAAACCCGATCGCCATGTTGGTGGACACGCTGACCGTGACAGTTGACACCTGCATAAATTGGACAATTGGACACAAGGGTTCCGAGAATATCCAGTAACTCAGCATAGGGACCGTGAAAGAGAATGGTATACAAAATATGGCCATCAGAAGGTCGGCCACCGCGAGGTTGATTAAATAGATCCTTAGGTCTCCTCTCGAACGTTTTCCTGTCACAAAAGTGACTATCACAATGATGTTCCCAAATATAGCGAGGAACGCCGCTAAACAATAAAAGAGGATCAACAGCGTCTGGGCATTCATTGGAAGCGGGTTGGGCTGCCACATGTTTTCCGAGACGTTGGCGGTTTTATTTTCCAAGAAAGTGTCTGTAAGATTCCAAGAACCTAGTCCAACCGTGAAATTGTTGGACAACTCAAAACTACTCAGGGTTTTTGAAGTTGGAGTTGTCATGATGTAATTTTCCCCTCTTGATAAGGTAGTTGGCCGTGCAAGGGAATCTAATAGAGACTCCGTTACCGTGCGAACTGGAGATCCTAGGTCGGGCGTTCTTCCTGACTCTTGCAGCGTCGTTGTTGTTTTTATTCGGGGTGTTGTCGTTTTATCAGATTTGGCATTTATGCTCACTTCTATCGGCTTAAAGAAGCCTAAGGTTTCATTAAAGAAACTGCTTAAAGCCATTATAGCAGTAAACTGATTGAATGAGATTAAATTGCTTTTTTACCAGGTGAACAAATTCCTGTGTCGAGAAGAATATTCGATGGTTCTAGGTGCAAGGAGAACGCTTCCGCGTTGGGTGTCGCTCTGAATTTTCACACATTTCTTTCCTTTGTTCTTGAATCACTGAATACAATACATTGATTCTCATGCTTTCCTTTTCAGATTACATGGTTTTGCGCACAAAATCATATGCACAGTTAATACAAAATATCTTGATTTGCGTGTTCGCCGCGTCATGAAGGTACTACGAGTCCGGATGCATTAGCCGATCCTTGCCTCCATAATATATGTCTTGCGTAACTCCTTCTGCCGCAGCCTTGTTGCTCTTACTTGGTACTTTTAGAGGTGCCAAGCGCAACTACAAATATGCTTACTTTGTTGTTGAAGCTGGTGGCCCAAGTGGATTCCGCGTAAAAAGTTCGAAGGATTAAAACGATGTCTTAAGTATCAACCTTCTTGATTTCAATGCCACTTTGTCGAGAGAGTTTTCCAGAGGGAATCCTGAAAGTAGTACAGATGAAAATTTAGTGGAGGATGTAGAGAGCAAGAGGACGTAAAACGTCAAAAATATTTAACATATTAGCATAGCTAGCGGTTGGTCATTTCATCAGATGCTCCCTGGCATCTAAATAAGTGACCTCTAAATGTATCCTTCCCTCCAAAATATAACATGATACAATCAACAACAAAGATATTCTTTGGTTTAATGGAGACATAATACACATTAGCTAAATGACAGAATTTCTTTTCTTATTGTAACAGTTTATCTTATTGAAACAGTAATTTATTGGTACTAATAAACTGTATACGCAGCACTGTGTCACAGCTTGCAGTGGGCATCACTTTTCGTTATAAAATGTCATTCTAGTGGCACGCGATTTTCTCAAAAACAATGGCAGTTTGGGGAACAACATATTGATTAGGTCTGTCTCGTATGCTTGGAAATCACACGGTCTAGTGCAACAGCGACTTAATTAAGCCGTTACAAGCGGCTCTCTTTCTCTTGTCACCACACACAACTTGGAAAAAAGCCTTGATTATCTTTTAACACAGCATGCATATATACGTAGTAGAGGCTTCAGAAGTAATTTCCATTAAAACCACTCGTCATACACGCGAAACACTCTGATTTTCCCAAAGGCACATCAACAGGCTTGGGTAATACTCCCTTAACCGTCACGAAATCGTACGGCAATATTTCGAAATTTTATACGTAAATAAAAATAAAATCATAAAATCACACCCATTACCTCCACAGTTTGCTAATACACAAGATCAAGACCACTCGACCTCCAAATATTTATAATTTCCCGGTGCCAATTTCTTTAATAAACGAAACATGACCGCTATCTTCTACTGCAATTCAGGGGCATTAAGTTTACGGTTTCCAATTCGCCAAAAAACATATTTTCATCTACAACCTCTTCAACCCCAAGGAACATCTGTCCGTCTGTTGATTGACATGATAACATTGGAATGTTCTAGTAATTAGTTTTTCCATCCCTGGATTGCAGCCTTCTTTTATTCAAGAACACGTCATTGTAATCACAATTTCACGTCTCAAAGTTTCCATTCCATGTTGCATAAAAAAGGGGACGTAATGACATGACAGTTTCCAAGCGGGGATATTTATCTGAAAAAAAAAAACTTCCTTCCTTCATCTGTTGTCCAGCGTTTGCTGTCAGGAAGGTTTCTAATTGAACGCCATGGCTGGACGAAGAGGCTGCCTCCTACGCGCGCAGTTCATATATAAAGCGTTGATTGCTGCCATTTTGGGTTCTAATGCATTCTGAAATTGTTGAAAACAGCCACCAAACTGTAAATTTTGAACATTGGTTTTGATATGTCTAACATTGAAAATTACTTCAACCCTAGCCTAATATCATAAGACATTCTCTGTTCTTTCTCCAACATCCTATTATTTTCCATATTTTCCTAATAGTACTTTATCCTATCCATGCCTTCTATGCTGTAAGATATAGGATATTAGTATAACACAACACTGGTGATCGTGATCATTCATGTTCGTCCACAAAAAGACTGATCTGTGTAGATTAGTTCCTTGACGAAATTCGTCGTATCTGCGTTTTGAAAGCGAAAACATCAACCTATACTTAATCAACCTCAGAAGGACCTCTTCAAACCAAAATTAAAATCTGACCAGGAAAATTGGACCAACAAAGCCCATTGCCATACACTGATATCTGACTGTCTAAGCAGGCTTACCTACCTTACCGTACTTTCCTATTTGACACCCTTTTTTTCACATTTGACAAAATCAAAATATCGTATCATGAAGCCTTCCTATATATTCAGTTGAGTAATTATACGCACGAACCTCCACTAATACTCTGTGATACGTGACATTCTTGTTACTAAACTCTTGAAATGTTGCGTGCTTTGGCCCGCTGCTATATTCATGGAAACGAACAACGGCGTGAAATATTCATCGAATTGTTATATAACATATATGGATGCGTACCTTTTGTTCGGTGTCACAGAGTTTAAAAGTGAAGGTTTAATCAAGAAATGTACAAACAACTTCAGCTGGTGCGCGATGAAAAAGGCAACAATTCTATGGCGTTTGATTGTCCATTGACGTCCGTGACGTCACTAAGCATTATACCAGATATGGTGTGTATTACAGAGACGCACTCGCTAGTCAAGTTGACAGGTAAATAATAATAATAATAATTATAATAATAATAATAATAATAATAATGAACAGTTACCAAAAAACGCTCCATATTCGTCTAAGTGATGTGTACAGACTTTTGTTCAAAGCTTATAGTTTTAATAATAGAAAAGAGAGCAGGTTACAAAGAGAAGGTTAATCGCAACTGCATTATCTTTAAAAAACACCTCAGTTCTACGACATGCAAAGAGACTCCAAAACGTTTGAAATAAAAGAGCAAATGCCAGTATTTTGAGAATCTGTCTTGTAAAAATAAGACGCAAGCAGAGGTTACAACGCACCGTAATGGAAGAAGCTTACATCCAAGCGAACCACATTTCATACAATGCACTAAAGAAAAGTTCACTTGATACAAGTGCCATCTTTAAAGTTTCAATAGATTTCAAATAAATATAATCTCATATGCATTTTGCAAATGGTAACTAGAATAAAGACGTACCAAATATCAATAGACTGGGTTAATGTTGACAGCAAACAATAGACTTGCGAGGCGACGTTGACGCCGATTCTTAGGCCTACTGTGGCGACACACACATGTAATGGCTAAATGTCCAGGCACACAGAAGATTGGAATTATTAAAAAATAAGTATCCTAATTTTTCGTTTCAATGCGCTTACTCTCTATGTAAGTTTCATTTTCATTACAAGTATCATAAAAACCAGCTCAAACTTCTCTCAAACACGAATGCTATGAATCAATATTTTATCAATTGTAAGTGGTTGAAAACATCCTACCACTATTTTAGTTGTTCAGTAAAGAAGTCAATTTTAATCTTGATCTATACCTAGCCCTTATAGATGATTTTCTCAAGTCCAAAGCAAAAATGTCACCCTTTCACAAACAATTAAACAAAGAGGAATAGCACACGTTTACCTGGCGACATAAACAGAATCTCGTTATGGCTGTAGGTACAGACTTGGTACTCTTTGTACCAAATAAATGAAGCAAATCCACGTTTCCAGTGCTTCATCTTAAATCAGTAATCACCAAAATTATATTAATCCAATTTTCAAACATCAGAAAGGCACCTTGCAGCAGGTTGAAAAAAGTTCAACGTAAACAGGAAAACGTCCATAAAAGACCCCAGTGCTAGCTTCAATTAGACTTCAATCTGGCGAACCGCATCCAAAACATTCCAAATCTGTTACTATTACTATCTTCAGAAGGGACAAAAAGTTCACAACATTTGGCCATTCAGTTCGCATTGCAGTTCCGTCTAGAATGATAGCAAATATTGACAGGCAAACAAGCAGTTAAGCTCGTCAGATGGGCGCGATGTTCAAAGGTATAATTGAAGCTGAAGGAATCTTTTGACTTGCCACATGCCTGGTAGACCTTTCATTAACCTTGCTACAATACCACCTAAGGTTTCGGCTTCGATATTGACTTTATTCCGTAACGGAAGGGCACAGGTGGCTTCCTTCTATGCCGTTAATGCTCAGAAAATGCATCAAGAAATGTTTTCAAAAAGTATAACTGATACGGTAACTATTTGTGCGTAATGAATTACCAGTAACTGTTCTCACGTTACACCGTTCAGAAAATAAAGATGGATTCCTTCATTACTTATGCCTCAGACCATTTTATATATAAAAATGCGGATTATATAACCAATATTTTTTGGCGTTGACGAACGGGGAAATTCTCATGTATTTATTTAAATATTTTTCTTTTCAAAATAAGTTGATAACGGCCAGTTGCTGGAAGGCCTTTATTAATGATTTCGTTAACTTTTGAATGCTGCATCTGTTTTAAAGATCAACTCTATTCCACATAGTCGGTAAATCTTTGTAATAAATTGATGATTTCGTTAACTTTCGACTGTTGCATCTGTTTCAAAGACCACCACTATTCCACATAGTCGGTAAATCTTTGCAGCAACAAGGGTCATCTTTCTTCTGGAAATGGACCAATGGCCTCATCGTTACTGCCAGACCACCGGCGATGAAAGCCGCCTTAATTGGAGTATGTCTATAAGATATAGTTAAAGTATTACGAAATAAACCCGAGATGCTTAAAATCCGACAGCTGCGGGTCTCAACCTAATTATTTTGCCGTCTGGGTGCTTCTCTACCTGTTCCATTCCAATTAAATGGTTCTTCGTTTTAACTTATTTTCTCTCCGTAATTGAATGCATTGATTTCACTTTGTTCGGTGGCCAAAGGACGCTTCTGTGATCTACGAAGTGTGAGTGACATTAGTATTTACCCTCTCGTTAAATGTATAATGTTCATTCTCTTTTTGAACAAACACGGCACCTTGCACATTACATGTAACATTTGCCATTTATATATATGTCACTACATGATGTAATTATACCTTATTTTTCCATAAAGAGCAGGTGTTATTCCACATTAACGTTGTTCTCTTACCTTTTATTGCCAATACGAACTGAAATCCTTATCGTCTATATGCTACTTAATTTTAATTCAGAATCTAATGGCATCACCGTTAAAGAACAAACTATCCGACTCCAGGTAAAACAGCGTTTCTGGCCGCTGTTCCTGTCACCCAATTTCCCAGGCGAACTATCATCAGTGTAAGGGTGTTGACACCAGAGGAATTAAATCCTAGGTGTGATATTCCATGGCATCATTGTAAAAGACCACGCGTTCTCGCATCGAGATCTAATTAACTGTCGCACGGAACTCAAACCCAATCTTCGCCTCGACTAACTTTTTAATAACGTATGATAATATCAAAAAAGCATGCGTCGACTGTCCACCTGATTTGATGTCTAACATAAGGCCTACTTACATATAATATAGACGCTTTTCATTAACTTTGCTGGCATATAAACGGTAG